ATAACAACAATAAAACAATAACAATAACGAGTTTTTCGTATTCTGTAACGAAAGATTGTGGATATAGATAAAGTATGCCAGAAAGAACAGTTTTCAAATCAGCAAGAACGCTTTATAAAGCACCGTAATCCATCTATGAATAACAGGAATGAATGCATCTCAATAACTGCCGATTTCTTGCCCTACATTCCACTTTGCGGGCTTTAACAGTGAGAACGTGATGCACTGCACGTACGCACTTTATCACACTAGTGCGCAACAGTGAGTCTCACTTGCTCCATTGTGTGACTAGAGTTGAGCGAATCTTCGGCGCTGGTGGAATTGACGAGGTAACTTATTGCTGGAGTTTCCTTTTCGTCTGTAGTTCCTTGGTCTGGGTTGCAACTAGTTGAGGGCGGGCCCATGTTGAATAGGATAGATAGTTTCAACGAGTTTCGGTATGCTTTCAGGCCTTTGAAAACGACGAGATTGTCGAAACGTCAGGCGTAAATAAAGTATTCCACCATACAAACCTGTTTGGCATAAGAAAGGAAGTTATCAATTCTATAAGCACTTTTCAAAGTTTTCAGATCAATATTGCTTCTGGAAGTTGGATGCATCGGATGTACTGTGTCTGACCGATACTGATGTTGACCCGTACGTGGAGGGCGTGTCGCATGCAGGGAATGTTCGAGAGGTATAAAGGTTTCTGCTTGTTTTTCTGTCTTCAAGTTCTGTTACTGTTTTGAGTCTGCTGAGCGGCGGGAATAGCTGTTTCAAGCCTAGACTAGATCCTAATGCGAGGCTCCCTTCAAAGGCATGTGGCACGATAATTTGGTACTCGGTCTAAAATGCTAGCAGGGTGCTATATAGTGGGAAAATGGCGAAAAAACGAAGTGAAACGGTCAAAAACCTGCGAGGCGAAGTCTTCTGAGTCTTTGAAGTGACTCAGAAGGTAATTTCGGACGAGTTTCCCCGTAGGCATCTTGCCAATAACCGCTACGGTAGATACGGCTGCACGTATGTACTCATATATCCATGCAGCACCGCAGCCGCTTCATATCAATCCCTTCGCTTCATATTTTACAAGGTACGGTCGTCCATTTGCGAGCGGTCGGGAGCGGTGGGCGTCCGGATTGGTGATAGGGTAAATAATAGGGTACCTTTCTTGGAAAAGGCGCTACGCAGCGCCTGCTCAGGGTCGCGGAATTCCGTCCTGCCAGGCGTATTGATCCTACTCGTCTCTAGGGATTTATCGTGCCAACTGCCTTTAAGGATATTTGGTTTAACACTGTATGTTGGTAAAACTTGACTACAGTTTTTTACTCTCATTAAAGGGATATTTATCTTTTTGACGCATTCGACGTTGACCAGTCCCTCTTGAGATTCACACCGCTGTTTTGATTTCCAGTCAGAATTATGAATACATCCTGAATGCCGATTTGGCCCTTACGATGACCTATGGGGATCAGTCAGTGTAGTTCTCAGAGTTTCTATGCTGCTGTGTAGTAGAAGCGGTAGTCATTTATCAAGCAGGAACGTCCCCTAAATTGTGCGTGTACAGTCGTCATCCGGGCACTTGATTAGGGCGGCAAGGGTCGCGACGCGGCTGCGGCGTGGCGATCAGCTGTTTCCAGCCTATTTTAGCCATTTTCTCCCTAATTTACACTGTTTTGGCTGCTTTTCTCAAGATTAGTTGTTCCTTGTCTTCGCAAGGAGTCCCGTCTTTTCACATAACAGTTTTCTTGTGATAACTTGCGGAGCGCGAACTGCGGCGTTAAACAGCAGTTACCATACTAAAAACAGCCTGGTGTAGAGTTAGAACCAAGCCCACTGCATCGACACAATGCCGTCGTGGTTTACGGACAGGGTACAGCATCGTTGTATGAATCACATATGGGGGGTCGTATTTGGGTTCGAAAGAAATTTGCCGCGTTTGACAAAAATGTTCCCGGTTGTTGATTTTTCGAGAGGTTTTTCCTGTCTCATGTGTACTATATACCTCCCCCCCCCCGCTCGACGGAAAATCTTTGGGTGAAAAACTGGAAAATGGGAAGTTGGTAGGTAGGTGCTGGGGAAGGGGGAGGGGGGGGTCGTACTGAAGCCCTCTCTTAGGTGAGAGGTTGCACCACCATTTCACACATCGCGATGCTGTACCCTATTACGGAAATCCTTACATAGAGACTATTCTCTATAAGTCCTAGACCGATCCTTTGTCCCGATCTAAGTTTTGCTTAGTCTGAACTGGGTTGGAGCCGATGTTTGAGCCACCGATCATGAGTTATTGTATGATATCAGCATTATTTGATACTGCTTCATCTCCTTTTTGATATCTATGGAGCCTGATGTCTTTGAGTTAGGCGGGCAAAAATCATGCCGCTCGAGAAACTTTTGTTTTTTTTTCCTCGAAGCAGAGAGAGACGCCAGTGATTTTGTTGTTCTAGTGGCTGCCAAAGATATAGCGTCGGTTGATCGTGGCGACGATGTGACAGGACGTAAGAGCGGAGCACAACCAATGCGTTGCATACGTATTGTACTGCATGACGGTGATTCGATCTGTGGAGCGACGTTTTCTGATAGAGTGCTGACAATGTGGCTGGACGGGCTGACAGACCTCATTGGTAGCGGTTCGCTTAGGTGAGTCAAGAGCACTAGATGTTTCTACAGGAGCTGAAGTAATACCTTCAACTAGAAATTTTTGGGTAATTTTGTTAAGAAGGAAGATTACTCACCTTGACTCGGATTTGAGGACCTTTTTTGGTGGGGAAACTCAAGACACATTCCAGTGATAATCGGATGGGTGGAGAGCTGATGGTCCTTGAGCTTCCTCCTTTGCCTGCTCTTCTCTTAATCGCGCCAGAAGAACGGTGCGGAATTGGAAAAGGCACAGTGGTTGGGAGACTACGCCTATCCGGTCATGAAGAAATGTGACTTTAAGTTCAGTGTAGTAGAAACTTTTGGGATAACTCTTTTGTACTTTGGGAGGTAGAACTTTTCTACTTTGTGCTACAGGTGTAATTAGAGTGTGGTTCTATTTGTACTACTTTTGAAGGTTTTTTCTTAAAAAAACGTATCAATAATTGAACTCGTTTTGCTTGTATGTCTAATCATTACTATTTAGTCGTGACGCAATGACCACCGCTGATCGCTTGCTGAACATCGAACTACGTCTTAGACTGTTGGACGTGCCAAATCCACAATCTTCCGTTGAAGTGCCTCTCTTTACCCGGCGACTTTTCAGGTTAACCGTCGCGCCGATTGGCTTTTTAAGGAAGGAACGCATCATGAAGAATCTTCACTCGTAGACGTGGAGCAGCGCATCTCATAGAGACGCCTGTTTGCACTAAAATCGTCCTTGGGATCTGATCCAGCTCAAGCTAATAAACCCCGCCTGGTGAACTTGAGTGAGTGGGAGTTATGTGGGAAGATGTCTAGAACATTGAGAGTTTTCCACTAGTCATTGTGTCGATCAAATTTTTTTTAATGTGGTTACTACTTTATTTCGAAGTGCGCTTGTGAGTTACACCCTAAGATTTGACCCCCTGTTGCTAACAGTGCTCATTCCAAGCGTAATATCTCTACTAAGGTAAAATTGTTGTTCTCTTCTGCCACTTTGCTGACGATTCACTTGAATGCACTTATACTTATTCGCTTGTTACTTTGATAATCCAGCTTATCGGGTGTGTATATGAGATTTAAAGTGACCTTGATACTGTTTAAGAAAACTCCTCGTTAGAAATAGGCTTTCGATGAACCAACGCGATGCGGTGCCGAACGTTTGCTAAGGACACGAAAAGCGAAGTGATCTTAAGAGCAAGCGCTGCGACGCGACCGCTCGCGGGAACGCCCACTGCTACACTGGTCTTGCAGTAATGTGAGCGGAGCGATTACTGGTTTTGCTATATTTCTTTGTTCATGTCACTGATTGTATTACTTCAAGGAATCGATCTTTACAGTTCATATATGTAGCATCGCTGTTGTAATTCATTATGTAAAACAAATATTTCTTCAATGACGCTCCTCTGCTTTCATGCATCTAAAATAAACCTATGTGTGTATCGTGTAGGTTTCGCTGAAAAGTGTGGTTGATAAGGCCATCGATCGTTTTCGTGCTGTTAGGCTGACCTTGTTAGCATCTGATTAAATATACCAGGTAGGGCTAATATACATGTAGTCATTTTTTCAAAATTTACTCGTAGCGGCAACCCTCAGTGATTATCCTCTTTTTGATCAATACCTGTTTAGGTCATACTGACCTTACGTGCGCTGGAGTCGGTACGTTTGTGCTAGCTCTACCTGGATGAAAAGATGCACAAACTTGAACGCTAGTGAGCACATACGCTTCATATCCTGAAGGTGTAATGGGCGTGGCCGCATACTTCATTTGAATGTGGCAACGGCCGCGCTGGAGTTGGGGTCCGCTGTTTTAGGAGGACTACGAGCATCCCTTTATCTGCTATAGGACAAGGGTGCAGTTGACTCGAATGGAAATATCCAACAAAAGACTCCGCCAACGCTACCCTCAATTTATACTCGAAATCCCTGAGATCGGGTAGGCGTGGCCGCATGCTTCAACTTAACCTGAAGGTGTCTATGCTTCTGGTGAGATATTTTCATCTTGACACAATTGTTGTCGTGTCTCTGTCCAACACAGAACAAGATGACAGTTGTCCCAGACTGGAATATTCCACGAGTAACCAATTCCGTGCCATGTTCAAATGCCACGCCTACTCTGGCTCAGGGATAAGGAGTGATACAGTGTTGTTCGCTGCGGATGATGGGCGCGCCAGAAAGACTGGGAATGGCACGCCGCCAGCCCGTTCTACACCAGTTGTTGAAGCGGTTAAGCGACAACAAGGTGGAAAATATTGACGCGATCGATATGGTACGGTCTTGTAACTTGTGAAGGTAAATAAGAGATGGGCCAACGCCGAGCCAAATCTACCCCCCCCTCCCGCTGACATGCCTTACAATGCGCTGCGAACAAGACTGTACATCTTGGCGCCCTCTTCATCCCTGGAAGTAGTGTAGCCTTCGAGGACTTGGGTAATAGTCAAATGCATAGCGCCGCTCGCGAAGTACTTATTATGGTCGTACAGTTCGTGTTGTATCGTTACCGTTTCCTTTACAACTTCCGATACACGAATTTTACAGAAAATTCCGAAAACCGAAAGGATTGTGAATAGCAGCAAATGCTGGCAGCGACGAAGGTGTGTTGGGATTCCAAACGTAATTTTATCCGGTGGTTAAAATACACTTTTGAAGCTTGCGCAGCATAATTCTAGCTATCCTATAAGCTCGTACATTCCAAGCGATGTGTTATCTTTCAGCCATAAAACAGTAGGTGTTACATGTTCCTTCAATGACGAAAAAAAAAAAAACCAAAATTTGTCATCCTTTTACCTTTCTATTTCCTTTGCTTTTAGAAGCACATTTCGGGATTATGGCGATAGGTAGTCACATGTGGTACTGTAGCTGCTAAGAAAGCCAGTAAAGAAAAGAGTGGACACTATGGAGAAATCCCGAGTAAGGCTTGTCTCGGTTGCGGATTGATTTGGGAGAGTGTGGCCAGCGTTTTCATCTGAGACGCTCTGAGGCGATTAGCCTGAAAGCATGCTCTATGTTCACAAAGCATGACTTCAGCTGTTCAAGCATTACGAAAGTTCTCATTACGCTCACAGCTTGAGCCGAGCCAGGACGCGAACCTGGCCCTCATGCTCACCTGGCAGCCATAACAGAACCCAGAGTTAGTATATTAACCTCGTGCGTATTTATCTTACGACGAAGGAAAAGTTTAGCGCGGAGTCACTGCACGGTGACAAAGGAGTAACAGATGAGAGAAATGATTGACCCACCAAAATCAACGCTGGTCATGTTCATTCCATGGACAAGGTACATGTTGTCCTTTTGCCCCCTTGGGGCCTGGGTTTCGCGCGGCGTCGGGCCTGTCCCCGTTTAGTGTTGGACCTGTTCCTCAAACAATTGCGTAAGCGAGCGGGTGACGCCGCGCTGCACCCAGCCCCACATGCCCAGCGTCTGGCAGAACAAAAAATGCTTAACCATTGGTGTTAGACCTCTGCCTGCGTATAGGCCGCAACAAGCCTTTTGTTTTTTGGATCTGAAGAGTTCGAATAGGCAGTTTCAGCCTGTTGTAAGCCCAGTCTTTCTACTTACAAATTGGGACTTCTTTCTTATAAGGACTTCCTTCCTTTTGGCCAGTCACATGTTCTTTGAGAGAGGTCTAGGGTGGGATGATTTACTCCTTCATTATAAAAACCTCAGTGACGGCCGCAAAACGTCCCGTGTCTCTTGTGAGATCAACCGCTCATTGTTGTGTGATCAAGACGTTTCATTCACGGTCGGGGGAGAAAACAAATCTATCTATCCTTCAGCTCCGAATCCAGTCCACACTTGTCTCTGAACATACAAGAAGTTCCCACATTTTGGATATTTCTACTTCTGATTAAGAGGTTTTAATGTTACTGAGCAGAGAATCTGGCGTGACTCGATGTTGTCAGTTAGATGGGGGTCTCGTAGCCCTAATAGCGCTGAAATCTTGTGAATTGCTGACGTTTTGCACCTATTCACCTCAAAACCTTTTTTGGGTTCCTTCTCCCCTAAAGCACTCCTTTTCGGTTACATTTTGTCGTGCATTAAGTGTAATAAGTTGATGCATGACTACTTATCCACGAGTTAGGGAAGGCTGCGTTCATACTTTACGGCAGCGACTACCAGCGTCCACCAGCGACCAGCGCTTTTCAAAAGTCAGCGTCAGCGCATAGGAAAGTGTGGATATCGACCTAGCTACCAGCAGCGTTCACCAGCGTCCACCAGCGACCAGCAGCGTCTCGAGGAAAGTATAGGTTTGATCTAGCGACCAGCAGTGTCCGAGAGTGGAGAGTTTGCGGAGATAGGGTAGCAGACAGCTGGTAGAGTTGGATATAAAGGAGGGTAGCATAGGGCTCTGCCACCTTCACACTTCCCCATACTCCCCACTCCTGAACGCTGCTGGTAGCTGGTGGATGCTGCTGGCATCTAGATCGATCCCCTAACCCTCGATCCCGCTGCCGGTTGCTGGCGGACGCTGGTAGACGCTGGTAGACGCTGCTGGTTGCTAGATCGATATCTATACTTTCCTATTCGCTGACGCTGACGGACGCTGAAACGCTGCTGGTCGCTGGTGAACGCTGTAGTCGCTGCCGCAAAGTATGAACGCAGCCTGAATGATTTACTTATTAGTTTCAGATGACATCAACAACCAAACAGTGGCAAACAGATCCTATTTCCATCCAGAAGAAAGAACTGCGGAAGAGTATTGCAGCCCGACTAAGCGACATTTCGGCGGAAGAAATTCGACGCCAAAGTGACATTGTCGTTGGAAGGTTAGTCAACTTTATGATACAAATGGATATACGCCTGTGTG